TTGATGATGAAATCAATGAGAAGTTTAGATCTTCTATAGCTGGGGGAATCTTGACTCAATGTCGAACATATAAGAGAACTCCAATAGTGTAATTCTGTGATGAAATTGATAAAATAAGAAGTAAGGGAGGTATTTCACTCACCTATCCAAGAGCGTGTACTCGCTCTAGTGTAGTTGGCATTCAGTGGCGTTGACCCCCCACTGTCGGGATATAGGTGTGAATGATTCCTCGGTATGAAAAGAGAGGTAGAAACCAAATATAGTGCTCACTGTATAATAACAAGTAAATCAGAGAAGTAAAAGGCGTACTTACATTTATCTGAGCAGGGTATACTGCTCAGTTTAATGGCGTAGGTGGTACAATCCCCACTTAGGATTCTTTGAACGATGGTCTGCTCCAAAGTAACGTGTAACCAGGTTAAAAAATAAATAAAAATGAAATAAAAGGTATATGGCAAATAAATAGTAAAAAGGCCAATATTCCTTTATTAATACAGTAAAAATATATAGCAATAGCCAAAACGCGTTTCGCCACACAGGGCTTTATCAATTGGCAATAATGGGTGTTAACCTGGTACATAGAAGTTTATATAAACTTAGGAGATACATGGTTATTTGAATTTTGGCGCCAAAATTACGTCATCATTACAGTGAGAATATAATAAAAATATTAAAAAACATAAATATAATAAGAACATGGATATATGATTAAAAGTACAACTCAAAACTTTATAAATTTTTCAAAAACGAGTGTTTATGGTAGTACTTGAAAATAGAATAGATTGTCATGTGATCGCGAGCTGCCGCGATCACATGGTGTATCCCAATGCTTGTTGGGAAATATAGTATTCTACTAAGCGTACAGGGAGACCGGAAAGAGGAAGAGGAGCACGTGATCGCGATCACTCGCGGTCACGTGATTGGGAATAGGATAGATGAGGAGTGGCACGTGACCCTACGCGGTCACGTGATGGAGAGGAGGCTTATGGGGAATGTAGTAGCAGGACGGAGGTCGGCTACAGAAGGCACGTCTCCGTCCTGTGCCGGCAAGTGTATGTATGAGGCACGTGATCGCCGACGCGGTCACGTGTCTAGGCGCCGAGCACCATGGGAAATGTAGTGCCTAACGGGGCACAACCCAGATAAGGGGAAAATAAAGAAAAAAAAAAAAAAACGTGGTATAAAAGCAGAGAATATGTATAAAGAGAGTCTAGATATCAGCAGGAAAAGTAGAAGTATGACTGCAGAAAAAGAAGAGGAGGAAATAAAAGACTAAAAGAGACTAATAAAATGTATAAACAATATAGGAGTAAAATGTATATAAAAGTAAATATAAATATAAAGGGAGAAAGAAGAAAAGGAGAGAAAAAAATAGAGATATAAAACAAAGAGATGTATGGATATATAAAGCATACTATGTGGAAAAGAAATAAAATGGAAAGAATGGAAAGTAAGAGATTAAAATGAATAGAAGATGTGTTAATACATAGAAGGAGGGTGAATAAAGGGCTAATTAAAAGGAAATACATAAATAGTCGGACATATAAATCAAAAAGGAAAAGTAGAGATATTAAAATGACTGAAGTATTGAAAAGTATTTAATGGTGGAAGAAAATAATAAAAATAGTTTTTATAAGAAGTTAAAAAGGTCGAATTCGGCGTTAAGTCCTTCTGGAGCAAGAGTTTTCAATTGGAAAACCCAGTACATTTCCCTTTTTCCTAAAATGTTTGTGATGTCTCCACCTCTCCAAGGAAGGGTAACTTGTTCTATCCCTGTTGCTTTTAAAAGAGTCGGGTCTTTATTGTGGCTGATAAAATGTTTGGAGACTGAGTGTTTATCATAACCTCTCTTAATGTTACGGCAGTGTTCTGCCAGTCTCACTTTAAGACATCTTTTGGTCATGCCCACGTATTGTAATCCACATGGGCATTCTAAAAGGTATATAACGCCTTTAGTGTTACATCCAATGAAATCTTTAATGGGGTAGGAGATTTTTGTTCTAGTGGAAGAGAAGTGAGTAGTTTTTGAGTTTGTAGTACCTTTTGTGGTTCTGCACACGATACATTTATTACACTTAAAGAACCCTTTAGGTTTAGATAAAAAATGTTCATTGTGATGAACGTTTTTTTTTAGTGTAATTTCTAGTTAAAATTGATCTGAAATTAGGGGCTCCTCTAAAAATAACATTGGGTTTGTCTGGAACTTGATCCTTTAAAAGGTCGTCCTGTTTCAAAATGTGCCAATGTTTGTTTATGATTTTTTTTTAAATTTTATTTTTATTATTAAAATCTAAAATAATAGGGAGTTGTGGAAGGTCTCCTTTTTTAGCTTTGTATTTTAAAAGCTCCTTTCTTTCCTTCTCTTTTACCACCTCTAACGCTTTGTTTAGTTTACTTGCTTCATAATTTTTTTCTAAAAACATATTTTTTTAATGAGGTAGACTGAGCATCAAAATCGGCAGTTGTTGAACAATTACGGTGGAGGCGGAGAAATTGGCTTTTTGGGATGCCATCCAACCAAGGTTTATAATGACAGCTTGTTTGGTCTATTATTGTATTGGTGCAGACCTCTTTAAAAAAAGTTTTAGTTCGAATACTTCCATCTTGAATAAAAATATTTAAATCTAGAAAGTTGACTGACACATTACTAAAATCTGATGTTAGAACAATACCTCTATCGTTGGTGTTTAAGTGATCTAAAAACAATTTAAGAGACGTATCAGAGCCTTGCCAAATAAAAAACAAATCATCAATGTAGCGAAAGTATGAGACCAGGTTTGCCCGCCAGCCGTGATCACCCCAGACGGCAGAAGACTCCCAGTCTGCCATGAAGAGGTTGGCATAGCTGGGGGCAAACCTGGTTCCCATAGCTGTACCCTTCTTTTGTATATAAAATGAATCAAAGAACCAGAAGTAGTTGTTGGTGAGTATGATGTTGATACCTTGTATAATAAAATCTATTTGAGAATTTGGTATTAAACCACTTTGTCTTAAAATCCTTTCAACTGCTTGGCAACCAATATTGTGGGGAATTATGGTGTACAATGATTGCACATCACAAGTTACTAACATGTAATCATGGCACCAATTAAAATCACTTAAAAAAGATAAAAGAGTAAGAGAATCTTTCAAATATGACTTAGTTTCTTTGACAAAAGG